CCACCACCAGAAAGCAGCCCTGAGGCTTTCTTCGAATGGGGCTGCCCTGACTAGTGTTCCACACTGTGTTCCCTAACCCACACTCATTTTACTGTCTTTAAAGTAGAGCATTGTCTTCTGACAATATCTGCTTCAACACAAGTATATGTGGAAATGACTCAAAAGCTGGACACCACAAAAACAACCCTGTAAAATTAGCTCATCCAAATCCCTTCTGTTTTAAATCCCATTAACTACTGTTTCTTCCATTTGTGTAGAGTTGTTTTAGCATCAACTCTGTCTCCTCCGTGCACTCTGAGTCCATGTCCTTTACATCCCTATTAATTTTATAACTCATGGTCTCCTTTAACTTTCAGGAAAGCACATCCTGACCAAGGAGAGTTCAAAGGGCATCAGTCACGGAAAGGTTCAGGACCTCGAAACTGGCTCCCTGGTTAGAGCTATGTTCTGGAGGGATGGGAGGATATCGGGTCCAAAGAAAAGAAAACGAAAAGTACTGGAAAGACAGCGCTTTGGATTCTTGGTGCTGTCCTTGGTACTGAACACTGTGTTTGCCAAATAATACACATTGTTAAGAGATTACTGACAACTAACTGCCAAAGGGACAAGAAATAGTGAGTGATACAAAATCCGTATTTTACAATAAACATGCTTATCATTAGGGCCCAAGGGGTTCATATGAGGAGAAAAGTGAGGACCAGAACTTTTCATGGTTGATAATTTTTATTTCCTTTTTGAACTCCGTTGGAATTCTTTGATTATATTAGTGTGTTACTGTGAACTTCAGTATGAAAACACAAAGACTATACGATTTGGCCAAATTAATATTAGCCAAACACCCAGAACATCCACATATTGTATGAGGCATGGGGTTCTAAACCTATATGAGGTATAGGCTCTTCAAAACAAAAGGGAAGATAGCTTTACAAAGGGAGCAATTGACTTGCAAGCCAGAAATATAATTTTTCATCAAAATGCTCTTTCTCTGCAGCTTTTACATCAATAACCTAAGCTGTCCCTTCTCTAAACTTCTAAATCACAAAAGATTTCTAGCCCTGCTATCATTGGAGAAGAATCTGCTCCAGCAATTTAAAGTGTTTGGATGGCAATGTCAATATAGAAAGATGATTATTCCAAGTATTGATTATTATGACACGTTTCCAAGTTGAGAAGGAAAAGGGAAATTCCATAGTAGCACTTTGTTTCCTGTCCTATAGAAAGAACTTATGTGTTTCATCTGTATTTTGAGAACATATTCATTCAGATGCTGCAACCTAATTATTAATGTGACCATAAGATTATCAGTGAAGCCAAACCCTACAGCTTGGAAACTCCTGTGACAATTAGATGGATTATCAAAGCAATAATCACAAAGGATTACATAGTTTTAAGCTCTCTATTGAGAACACCCTTGTGCATAATCAAATTTTAGCAGGCATACCCTGATTGACATTAGCTGCTGGAAGCAGACTGTAAATTAACCACATAACACAGGTCAACACTTTAAATTTTATCCACAAATTAATCTCTCGCTGACTTTTATGGATGCTAAACATTTGATTCCTTTAAACAAAAGAAAGATCCTAAATAATGCCTTAGAACTGTACTGAAGGGTCTCTCCAAGAAGGGTTCATAGTAACAAAATCCTGAAAATACTTCTCAGACATGGTGGAAAGATGATGGACCACCAATTTTTCTTTTTAATGAACTGAAAAGAGAGCAAACATAGATATGTCTCCCTACAAAGTAGATGTAATGATTCCTTTGCTTCTTACCAACAGACACCAGCCAAACCATACCATTTTCTCAGGAATGAGTGAATTAGGTTGGGTTGTGAATAAACAAAGCAAGAGAAAGGAAACTGAATAAAAGTGATGCTACAGAAGGAAAGGGATGAGAGTAAGAGTCAAGAGGAAGTGTTTTCCTTTCAACCACCCACAAGAAAAACTACAATAGTGGCTTCCCAGTAAATGAGAAGTAATGTCTGAAGAGCCTCCCGTTTTACACAATCTGCCCTCATCTCCCTCCACTCCCACTTGCACGCTGGCCTTTTTTCTCTGTCCTGCAAACATGCCAACATTCCCACTGCAGGATATTAATACATGATGGTCCTGCTTGCAACACTCAATCCTTAGAGTCCAAACCAAAACCACCCCTTACAACACTTCTTTAACTCTCAGCAGTATCAAAAATGATCTTAACCATTCATTCATTCATGCATGCATGCATGCATTTATGTGATGTTCATCTTCCTCACCCACTCTACTGCAAGCTTTGTGAGGACAAGGACACCATCTCATTTGCACATGTCTCCCTGGTAGCCAGAATAGTGCCTTAGTAACTAAGTACTAAGGCTTTTAGTAACTATTTGCTGACTGACTGTAACAGGGAAGGAAAGGATGCATTTTACAGGGTGATTAGAATAGAGTCTTTTCAGGAAGGGCTTTAAGAAAGCAATTTCTTACTGAAAGATGCCAAGGTCCTGGAAGAGAGTCCTCTTGTGCATTGCAGGTGCCTGCAGCCTCTATCCTGCCACCAACTATCCCAAGCTGCCAATTACATGTAATGCAGAACACTAGTCCCAAGACACAGGCAAGGCTACGTTGAGCATCAGAAGCCTGCAGTCTAAGAATAATGACATCCTAGACCTGAAGTGTTACTGTATTCTCCCCTATAAAATGAGGATAGCAAAGTTAATTGGAAGACGCAAGGCTCAGTGCAAGTGAGACACTGGAAACTCTAAGGTACTGGGCAAGGAATGGGTGTTGATGAGGCTTGACAGAGATTTGTTCTGTAGGCTAGGGTAGGAAGGCTGTATGAGCTTGGAATTCACACTTTCCTCGGAGACTTGAAAAAGTACCTTCAGACAATGGTTAAGAAATACTGCTAATTTTGCCTGCTTTAAGAAGCTAAAGTTTGGATGTGACCAGGACACACGGAGAACTGTTAGGTATGCTCCCTACTGCCTGATGGCTTGTACCCACTAGTACAGCACCATAACAGAGCAGCACCCCATCTGCAACCCAACAGTCTGACAACACATCCAGCATGGAACATATCATTGCAAGGACCTAGGCTCCTGCGCTACAATTATTTCACTCACAAATATTTCACTTGGTCAGTAATGAGCATAGGGCCCATGCTCAAGTCGAATAAGCTGGATCGAGGAAGGCAATATGGATAGATAAGGTGTGGGAGGATGGAGAAGGCTAATGTCTTGACATGGAGGACCCTGGCCATGGGTTGGACAAATCTGGAGCCAGGTGGAAGGCATCGTTGGGGTTTGTTGTCAAGAGAGGAAAGATAAGGATGAAAAATCACCATGACTGGTAAAAAATGGGAGGGCGTAAGGCAGACTGTTCATTCCTCCTCTCTCCCCAGAGCCAGAGAGAGAATAAAAGGCCAAATGTGGGTATCCAAAGGTGCCCAATAGGGGACGTGACAATGGAGGAACAAGGACACAAGTGCAGCCATACTATGATTCCAACTCTGGTTCAAATACAGTGAATCACAGGAAATGCTTGCCAGCGCTTTGAGGCAGAATATGGCCACTTATTAACAAATAAAGTGCACAGAACTCAAAGGTCACGTCTGAGTTTACCAAAGCCCACTGAGACCATCTCGGCACTAAGAAGACAATCCTTTTGTCAAATGTTTGTGTAACACAAAATATAATGAGGAAAACAAGTTATTTTCAGTTTAAAATCCATGATGCATACAAGAGAAGTTTACATAGCAAAGTTGATAAAAAAAAATATTGACTAGCAATGTTGACAGAAAACCTTCTGTGCACACTACTACTCTGTTGAGTAACTCTATACCTATATATTTTGCCCCCAAAATGTTTAAAGCTCATTCAGATGGAAGCTTTTCTCTTGACACAAATTTAACAGATTCTGGTTATCATGTTTATCCCTGGGTACAAAATAATATTCATAAAAAATATGCCTGCATGTTAAAAATAACAGAGAGAAAAGGCCAGTTGAAGGAGTTAGGAGAAACTGTGAAAGCACCAAGCACCCCCCTACTAGTTTCTTGGGGTGACTGGGCCAAGAGATATTTAAGGCAATTCCGGAATAAGAAAATCCTCCTCATCAAACCTTCAAGTTTATAAGCCTTCGGCATGATACTACAAAAATACTCCAAGGTTTTTTTTTCTAACTGGGAGAGTTAGCAACGTCCCTCTACCCCGCCACACCCCCAACAAACAAAAGCCAAAGTCTGTCTGGTCTCATAGGGTTGACAGATCTCATCAGAGAATATAGCCAGAAAAAAGTAAATCAGAAGTCAGGACAGTGGCAGTACAGTATTCTACTACAGGGGTCAGCAAGTTCTTTCTCTAAAGAGCCACAGAGTAAATGTTCTGGGATTTGCAAACCAAGAGGCAAAATTGAGGATACTAGACAGGTATTTATATAAAAACTTCCACAATTTTTATTGTCAGAACTAAAAACTTTACGAACACTGAAATCTGAATTGTAGATAATTTCCATGTGTCACAAACATTATTACTCTTGTGATTTTTTTCAAGATTTAAAAATGTAAAATCCATTCTTAGCTTGCAGGACAAAACCAGTCTTTGGGCAAGATTTGGCCTGCAGGCCCTACTTTGCCACACCTGCTCTAGCAGGACAGAAGGTGGCGAGGCAAACACAAGCTATCAAGTCATCATATTTATTTGTGGTTTTGATTTTCCCTCAGTTTCCTTAGAAGACCATAAAAATAAAGCTGAACTGAAACATCCCAAATTCCCTGTGCTTATAGCAAAATCAGATTATTTCCTTCATCCAGTAGCTTATGTTCACATCCTAAATTAAATTTAAATATCATCTTAGCTGTAGACGGTGCCTTGGTTGTGTACAATGAAGGCAAACACAGGAGCAAAATGGGAAACACCCTAATCAGTTTCCATTACCATGACGAGCTCGGCATTGGGAAAGCATCTGATCTGAGCGACCCCCAGCCACCACTTGTAATGCTCTCCTGTTCTTATCTTGTAGGCTTTCATATCGGACGGGGCAAGACACAGCTAATTGTGACACATGCAGGAACAGTGCATGTATTATCTATAGGTACGTTAACGTTCTCCTCTTCCCACTTTTTATTATGAGTGACAAGTGATGTTTACCCACAAATGCAAGAACCATCTGGGGCCACGGTGGGATGATTCTATCAGATGAAAAGTAAAGGACCTTTCTTGACCATAATTCTAAGCTACCTCTAAATACTCCACCCCAGCTATATAATCACGGGGTGAGTGTGAGATGAACCCATTTATCTGTATTGCAAATACATCTTAGTGGCTTCAAGAATTGGTCTAAGTTTGATGGCTTGTTCCTTTGGAATCAATCAATAGCCATGAGCACTGAACTGTGGGTTCTGGAAAGGCTGTAAAATACAAGCCCTTCTGAGGGGATAGATCGAAGGCATGAAACCAAGTCATATGTGCTAGGAATACCACGAAAGACCTGGGCTGCTCACACCAAATGCACAGTTTTATTTCCTAGGAACTCTGGAGGACTGTGGCACTCGCATCCCTGGGGGTAGAATCCCCTCTCTAGAGCCCCTACATCTGTTCTTCGTGTTTTCTAATTTGAAGTTTGCTTATATTACTGACACCAACAAGAATACTGCAGAAACTTTCAACAGGCAAAAGCTGTGTTAGGCTTTTGGCAATAATTTATGATTTTAAGACATGGTTAAAACCCTAAGAGCGGTTGACATTTTTTTTTATTTTTAAAAATGTAATTTTCACAAACAAAATGTAAGAGCAGTAAGAGATATTATGACTTCATTTACTTTTAAAAAGTAAGACTGAAGAATAATTTTAGTGATCTGCCAAATTATCAAAAAAAACGTTATAATTGAATAGTTATATATCTAATATACACCTCCCCCCAAAAACCCCCTCTAAAAAGATCTTCAGAGTTACCAAGAACAGTGAAAAAGCCAGAGGCTACACAGTCTTGGAGCCAGTAGGTTCTTCTCCCGAGCGAAAGCAGACAGAGCATCCCAGACAGGACCAGGTTCTTCACAAGCAGAGTGGGGTCACCTGGAGACCTTGTCTGGGAGCAGCAGAAGAAACTGCAAGGCAGAGATGAGCGGGACGCCACATCAGCACGTTCCTTACTGCAGAGCTTCTCAACCAAGGGTGGTTTTGCCTCCCAGGGGACATCTGGCAAAGCCTGGGGGGAGATATTCTCAGTTGTCACAACTGGGTATCTAGTAGGTAGAGGCCAGGGAGGCTGCTAACATCTTGTATCGCACAGGACAGCCCCCCACAGCAGTTATGCGGTCCAAAATATCAATAGTCTAAAGCTGAAAATGCCGACCTTACTGGAACTATCCTCACATTAATGTCTTGCAAAAGGCACATACAGTCTGCTGGGGCCTCCTGGTAGCAGGCAGGGAGCCAGGACCCCTGCAGCAGCCCTGGCCCAGCATGCTAAGCCATAGCTTGTTCTTGGCTATTGCCAATGAGGAGGTTAAAAGTATGCATCCATGCAAGGTTTCTCTTCAGGAACTCCAAGTTACAAACTCAGAGATAGCAATTTAACAGACAAGTCTGCTTAATGGGAACATTTTACTGCATTCATATCATGGAAAAGAATTCTGAATCAACAGTAAAAGGATACTACTGACATAAAATAACCCCTTCACTACTCCTCAGTTTAGCTTTTGTTACTGTGGGAGCTAAGACTTACCAGGTCTCTCAGTGCAACAAGGCAGAAATGAGCAGAGATTTCCAGAGAAGGTTCATTGAATGAGCTTGTTCAGCCTAAACCTATTTAACATTTTGTGAGTGATCAAAAAAAGAATTTATTAGGACACTGTCCAACATAACTGAAATAATTTAAATAAATTTAGCTCTAAATCCAGAACTAACTTACATCAAAAGTTATATTGAAAGTGATTTAACAAGTCTTTGGAGGACAGGAACTCGTATTTTTAGGAATTAGCCTTGAGTAGTTACTATTTTGAATTGGCTCAACCAACATTCGGAACATCAGTCAAGGGCCCACTTTGCAAAAGAATTGTGAGTGTCCAGGCATCACAGGAATTTGCCAGAATTTAGGAAGGCTCATCAGGTAGAGGAATTAAGGCATCATGACCACTCTAGTGATCTTGCATGGACGGGGAAAATGCATGTCTGTGCACAGAGACTTTTCCACAGAAGATGCGATTGTACAGGCTGTTGCTTTGGTCATGTGCATCTTCAGAACCTGAATAGAAATAAGGCCTTCTGCAGACTCGCAAATCCTACCATCATCCCATGCACGTGTACAAAGCATCCCATGAGAGGTGGTACTACACAAAGTGTCACCTCTTCACAGTGGTGACAACAACAAAGAATTCCCACAAGCCCCCAAATTCTGCTGCAAACAGAAGTTATTCTGGAAGGCTCAGCAGGCAGGTCACAGAGCCTCCTATAGAGTGACATTTCAGCTGGACTCCCTCTGTCCCCCCGAGTCTTTATTTCATGTGTCTTCCAACTAAAGATCTTTTCAAATAAAGGTC